GAACACAATAATGGGCGTTTGTGTTCCATGAAAGTAGTTTGACTAACTAAGCTATCATCATCTGCTCATGAAGGACTCGGACCCATGCAGTTAATACCTTAAATTAGGCCACGATCATTTTCCTCCTTATGCTTTTCAGATTATCATTCAACGCTGAATATTCTGAGCTGCAACACCATCGGTAATTGTTCACACATTAACAAAACAAAAATAGTAAATAGGCCAATATCGTTATACATTATTTCCCATGTCCTTCTTAAAATATTCGCCAAATTGTAACGTGTTTTAATTTAAGGTCTTGCGACAAGCCGTTCGTAAAATTAAGTTAAATTAAATCGACGTCACCAAAATTTTATTACGTCCGTCTGCGATTATTGTAATCTAGACCCCCAGTACCAAACATGCGAAGGGACGGAGAGATATATACGAGCTACTCAGTTATACATTTATGTTATGAACCTTATGCAATAAAAGAAATTTCGAAAAAGGTCCATGCCCTGAAAGGTATTTGAACCCTCTTTCGGAGTGTCCCATCGATTGAAGGTCGGGCGTGATTCTTACACATCTGCACAAGGATATCTCAGATCGAAGAGCGTAATTTCTGCCACCACCCACAATTCTATCCTTAGCCCCACTTATCTCCGGTCGTGAAATACTTCCGTCCATTTCATCAATTCTTAATGACTTCCTGACATCCTCCTCCATTCTTTCTCCATTTCCTGTCTTCGCCGTTACAGCAGGGCGTCCACCTATAAAGCTGAAGGTCGAGGATTTGGTCTGACAGAACAGTCATTATGAACTTGACGTTATCCAGCAGGTTAGCTGAGCGCAACTCCGGATGATGAGGTCATCAGTTATCCTGACCGAAGTGGGTTTTTTTTTCTTTACGATTTGTCTGCGCGAATAACAAAGCAGTGCCACGAAATATTTTACTGTATATGATTTGAGGTTTTCACAGCGGTGAGTATAAAGATTTCTATCTTCTGGGTTTTTGCGCTGTGTAGTCTGGTCGATGTTAACCAACGTTTCAGAGGTGATACTGCTGGAATGGAACACTCATGCTCTTTGGGGCCCCTCATCAACACAGCTCAGGCACATAAGGTGAGATACTTCACTGATTCAGTTCATTCATCTGGTTTTTACAGGGGTGAGTGTTTGTTAACAATTCGCCCTGATGACGGAGGCAGTATGACCTCTGAAACGTTGGTTAACATCGACCAGACTACACAGCGCAACAACCCAGAAGACAGATATCTTCATATATTTTACTACTGTTTTGTTTTTAATTTACGTACACGATCATAATTTTGTTTGGTGTTAGATGGCTTCTGCAGTAATCCAATGTCGTTAAATAACATTTTAGTCATTCGTTCATTGGTTTAGATAATAGAGCATTAAAGATACCTCCCCGTTTTGCATTCATTATATACATTTCATTTAAAAGTACACAAACTTTCACTGAAGATGAGTTTGAATGCAGAACTAGAAGACTTTCCAGCGTCTCTCTAAGGACCTGCAGTAAGCCTTAAGTTGTCTGAATTGATGTTTGAGTGACGACATTTCCACAACTCTAGTCCGACCTGACACATAATTCCAATATGTGCATAAACCAAGATCTCTACCTAAGCACGAATACAAAAAATGTATGATAGGGTGTAACTGTATCGCTTCTCACTTATCAGCCTCGTCAGTGGCTAGATGTGCATATGTAATTAGTGAACGTAACCCTCCATTCACTTTGTCTCGGGAGAGTGTGTCCTCTTTACCCGTCTGAGCTGTTCTGGACGTTGTAATGAATAAATAAGAGCTAAAGTAGTACAAGTAAAGTTCTTTTAACTTTTTATGAAATAAGGTTTGTTGTTAATGCCAAATTATAAATGTAGGGTAATTTAGTGTGATTGCTACGAAATTTTATTAGCTGTAGTACAAGTGTATTTTCATTAATTATAATGAATAAATTAAGAATATACACCTAGAAAAATCGATTCCTATGTTGACTTCTGTTAAATTAATTCAGTTTTTTCTGTTCTACTATATAAAAATGAAAAGTAAAATGGGAAATGGTAGATTATATACAACATTATTTAAAATTGGTATATTTGACTGCTGTTGCCTATTTTAAGACAGTGTCCACACACTGGTCTAGTGAGACTGCAGTAAATCACGATAAGTTGATCAGGTTATTCCGTCACCCGTATTCAAATCACAGACGTTTTATACCCTCTTCGCCTTCAGCGCGAATGTATGTAACCGGGCAGAACAAAGCTTTAATTTTAAAATGCAATTAACGTGCACTTTAGTGTGTTCTCTTTTTTTAATTTGCGATATAAAAATTACTTTTATCATATTTTATTGGCAACGCGTCCTCCCCACCTTTTTTTCAGGAGATATATTAAAAAGAATTAAAATAGTAGTGTTTTATTAAAACCAGGATTCTATTCAAAACCAGTCAATACATAGATGAATTGGGCTTCCGCTATGAAAAGAATTTCATAATTAATATCTAACTGCGAGACAGTCGTCTGTGATAAAAGCAGGTAGTGTTTGTACCTCAGATGAGATTGGATGGCATTCCAGTCCATGACAAGACTAACCCCACTATGACCATTCGCTTTCTGCTGCTAAAACATTCCATCCTGCCTGACATTCCCTTTTGTGTAGTTTGAAGAGTCTCGCAGTAATAGCAGGATAATTGAGAGATGTCTGCTACTTACTAATCCCTCCTAGCAGTAGCTTCGCTCAACCCTTTTAGACATTGAAAGCGCCATATCTGTCCTTAAGTCTTTACATGGCCCACTAAGCAATTCAGACGCGATATATTACTACGATTATAAGAATAGTAGTTCTGTTCGCAGTGTCATGGATACTCCATCCTAGCTAGTTCGTAAGTCGCATTTCACAATTTTAAGTTTCCTGACAGTCGACTGAATTAACTAACTAGCCGGCTTCAAGGCACAACAGTTTTAATGCATACGCGTAGTTTAGTCTCTGAAACAAATACCCTTGAATTTTGGCTCTTATATATTTTAATGGTCCTAATTTTACAGCAGGGACTATAATTCTGACGGACTAGTATTAGCCCTTTGAAGCACGAAGTTGGACTGAATGTCATATAAAAATCAATGTCTTACCCCCCTCCCCCAAAAAACTCATCTCCATTACAGGAATCGGTTATTGTCAATGAAATAATCGCTGTTTTTTCTTAAAATTATAAGGAGTCAATAAATGTACTCCATGGACAAAATTCAGGGTTAGTTAATGCTAAAGTGTGTGGTACGCCATGTTTTGAAGTGCAAACAATACGGATATCGTACAACAATACGCGTAACCAGCTTCGTCGAAAAGGACGCCAGTACACGTCTGTTTCTTTCTCTGACACAGAAGAGCACCTGCCCACAAAATTGGTCTGATATCTCCTGAGGCGCTCGGATTGGTCCGATTTCTGCGGTTTCACCGGACCCGTTAGCTGCGGTGTTTCTATCTAGACACATCTCCCGTGTGGAGCCGCTTTAATCCACAGGGATTAGCAGCGTCCTATTAGGATTAGATTACACAACTGACTCAGGCGACCAGCCGCAACTTAAGAGAATTTACAGGGATTCTGTTTTCTAAATAAATCTCAACCCTGGGGCCGTATTAAACTGGGTCTGAGTCAGTCATTTTAAGACAGTAGTTACATCATGATGATGAATCTTTCTTGCATGAGTAGACCTGTAGGTTCTGTTCTATATTTCAGTAACAGCTAACCATCATTTCTTTGATTTTCCTACATACCTTTCTCCAACATGTTCTGTAAACATATGATCGTGTTAGCTTTAGATGTGAATTAATTTGTTGCTAACAGGAGTGATGGCTGTTCTAACGTCTGTTAAATTATTTTTGCGCTTATTATGAGTTCTTAACGCGAGCGAAATAAAAGGTCGTTCACGCCTGGTGCCTGCCCACATGTACAAGTATAATCTCAAAAACTACTGAGCGAATTTAAACTAAATTTGGTATTGTGGATCTACATTAATATTTGTCGGTCGATTGTAATTTGTATTTTTATCGGTTAGAAGTATCTTTCTTTTGATGCTAAGCTCAAATCGAATTTTATTTATTTATTTCCTGAAAATCTGTGTGTCGTAAAATAACATGGGCCTACATCTCGTAAAACAAATAATACTCAGTGATTAATTGGAAAAATTTAGATGGAAGGGTTTATGCTGTGTTGTGTGATACAGTCCGGAATTGTTCTTGAGGGCCTGATAAAATATGACAGAATAGCCGGCCTCTGAAATGAGAATCGAACCAGACACTTCCAGAATAGTTCTCACAACACAACCGGGAGGTTCAGTAAGGAATCTTGAGTTGTATTTTATATTGACGATTAAATAAGTAAATTTATAAAATACGTATACGTCATATACCAAGAGAAACTGATATCCTTAAAAGGGAATCATTAAGTATATAGAAAAACATGTTCGAGGAGCTAAAGCTCCCATTCTCCTTGTTATAAATACCTAGAAGCGCTCATGTGGGTAAGGGCTCTGCTACTTTTGTGCATTTCTGTTTGTGTTAAATGCCTTCCTAGGTTTTCTGTCCTTCCTTGTAATTCATCTTCGAAACTAGTGTTTTGGAATTCTGCACTAAAATTTGTGTTTCAGAGGTGCTTGCTTTCTCCATCATCATCACCACTCTGATGATGGAGGCAGCAGACACCGCTGAAACGTTGGTAAACTTCTACCAGACAGCCAACTGCCGTGAAAACCTTAAATCCTATTAACTAATGGTTCCTTTCTGCTGTCAATATTTTGGTCTTATGGCACTCGTCCTTTCCATGAACCCTTTCACAGTGCTGGGAGTACAATATTTTCGGTCCTATAACGATCCATTCATTGTCTGTAGACATCTGAACTGTTAACGGCGACGTTTTACAAACTTACCTACAGCGGAACTGCTTTTGCTACTTGTAATTTTTTTGACTTTGATCAGGTTGTGATGTGTTTGTTTTGTTGCAGAAATCCAAGTGTGTCCGAGGACGGGACTTGGACAGCCACCTATTGGCCGGTCCACACGGCTTACGGCAGGGAATTTTTGACCCTGGACGTGAATTCTACAAAAACCGGAAGGGGTCCTCGCCTCAAAGAGTGTGCCTTCTGGAAGAAGTATCTACCTCAACTCATGCTTGTCACGTGTAAGTTACTGAGCTACTGGAACTGAAGTACGCTCACTGCCTTGTATTGTTTTAGAAAATATTTCTGAATCTTTATTCAACGTACACGAAGCCGGGCCCCCCAATTTTCTTCTGCATCGCTTGCACTTCATTATTTATTACTCATTCATTTTTTTTGAGATATTAAAACGTCGTGAATAAATAAACCAAGAATAAAAATTGCGCTGATTGATAAAGCTAACCCGGCCGCCTGCATGTGAAAAGAATTCGTTGATCCGGTTTACGATCTGCACTGCTGTTATCGTGTTTGGACGTTGATTGTACGAAATTGATGATCCGTTGGTTATAGAACGGGGTTAAGAGACTTCGAGAGCGCTATTTTAATCTGACGGCGCACACCTGAACCACATCAATTTCAATTTTATGAATACCGGTGTGTGATTAACTTCTGCGGAAAATTGCCTTATTCAGTGGAAATTATATCAAATCAGTTCATAAATCAGATTCTGTACTTTATTTACATTTCTTCTGCATTTCAATTGTTTTTATATTAGTATTTGTAATATTTTTTAAGGACCTCAGCGACAGAAAATGACGAAAATATCAATACTACTACAAAAAGAGACTGAAAATGTATTTTATAATTGATGTTATTTCAATATTTTTTAATTTATTACTTACGAAACTATTATATCCGTATTTCTTGTAAAATGTTTCAGAATGTTCACCGGGAAAGTGAACCACCCGGGTGAAAGTAAACCGGAAGGCGAAAGTGGTGAAATGTTCACCACTACTTATGCCTATCTACTAAAGAATATTTACCAGCCACATACATTAGATGTACAGTTACTTCCTTCCAGAATAGATTATTTATGAAAATCCATGCAAAGTTACAATTACTGCATGCCGGGCGACAAGGTAGTGTGTACGAAGAAATGGATTCTCGACGTACAAATTATTCGAAAATACAGTCGTACAGTTTAACTAGGTGGTCACATATTTTAACTTTACAGTCTAAAATTTCTTCTAGTGACAGTGCTTGAACGATTGCACTTAATAATCTTCACATGTGAATTGGCAATCGAGGAAACATTTGACAAGTTGTGTGCTGCTTGATAAAATGGGACGGAAATCAGCCGTGGTTGATGGCGCTCCCACTACTGTTTTGTTGCGATAAAGAGGCGATCCGCACCCTTCGTATGTCAGAATCGATTTTATACGTTTTCGACATCGCCGTCGGTTGTGTTGATTACATTTGTTTTATTTGACATTTCATTTTGAACCTAAGCTTTCTACTCCTCCTGACGAATGCCATTTGCATACACTTGCATATAAACAAAAGGAAAATTGTTTGTTAATGTAAGGCATTTAAACTGACCAAGCTCCAGAACATTAATTGTAAAATGTTAAATTTATATAGGCTGCCATAATATAAGCCAAAAATAGGTATTTCAATTCTTAGATGTCCTTATTTTCGGCAAAGATTTGTTGCAGCTGGATGAGATCTGTTGACGAAAGCAAAATCTTTGGTAATTCGTCATTGGCAGAGATTGTTAACAAATTAACACAAATATTGATGTTTGAGCTTGAAAGCCACCCCCGTGTCGCATGCGGAAGCCATTAGACGAGTGGCCGGTCCCCAAGTGGTATCTTCGAGATTTCCCAACCACAATTTTGTACTCATGCTATATGTCCTATCCAGCTTATCCATTTTAATACCATTACGTACACATCGATAGTGTAATTTATAGAACATTTATGAATACGGTGATATATCTGAGATTTTCATAAAGTCGACTAATTTTTCATCATCCATGAACGTTTAAAAAATAACTTGCAGATGTATAATTAGCAACTTTTCTGCTACATGAGACTAGTTAATCTCACAGTCTGGAAGATTTAGAGCAAATTTTAATTTTTTTCTTAAAGGTATTTTATAATTAAATATTTTATATCTTCGGTGTGCTCCTTACACGAAGCACAAAAGTTCTAGCGTATTGACATGTTGGGAAACAGTTTCCAGGCTCTCAGATGTATGAATAGAATAAATATAAACTAATGACCAGAGCCCTTTGCTATTATGCCTCGCTGTCTCTTTGTCTTGAATGTTTGCAACAAAAGTAGCAGAGCGTACCGGAAACTCTTGAGTTTCTCCATTTATTTATTTCGAAACTTTGAAAACACGTAAAATGTTTAGTACTTCAATGAATTTTCGTTCCTCGTTATTTTTTGACAAAAGTAAAATACAAGAATGGCGTGTGGGATGTAAGAATAAGTAACTACAAAGATACAAAGAGTTTCATTCCGAGAATCAGAGGTGAGACGGTGGCTTACCTTTTGAGAGAAAATTCCCCTTACAAAGCTGCCATCTTAGCTCACTCGCCGATGAGTTCCCATCGGCGAGCGCGCTTCAAAGGACCAGATTTGTTACGCAGCAGCCCTGAGGATGAGAGCAGAGATTGCTCTCGAAACGGCAGAAGATATGGTTTATTTGCCATTCAGCCACCTGACGCGGCTCGTAACCCGATAGTTTTTTATCAAATTCAGTCGTCGCTAAAGCTTTGCTTTATAATTGCACCTTGCAGTTACTGTAGTTTCTCGCCATTTATTGATATTACTCTCGTAATTTAAAGCGTGGTTGACGAAGGCCCAGTTCCTGTTGGAAATTGTGGGTTAGAAAAGCAGTTATTACATTATATAGGCCTTCCTGAAGTTAATAAATAATTTGAAATAACGTATACTATTATTAGAAGTCCTACTAAATGTACCTAAACGTAGGACGCAAGAAACTTACAAAATGCAGTAATAGTTGAAATGGAATTTGATAACGTCATTTGTTTTGAGATTCAATTTCGATTTTTAGTATTCCGGAATCTTAATTATAAACTTTTACTTGATTGAATATCCAGTGACTTAATAACAATAATAATATAGCTAATCTGGGTAGTATTTGCAAAGTTCGTTAAGGGTTGTCAAACGCAGTGATGGGCAAGGTGAGCCTCTAATAAAACAAATTCTATCACAGACAGCGCTATTGACAGCGGAAGAGATTCTATGGAAATGAAAATGTTGGGAACTTTGCGAAGAGTTGAACAAGTTTCCTTCCGCTGCACTCAACCGCTTGATGAGCTTGCAAGCACGGCAAGTTTCATTCAAGTGGACTTCGTGATAACTGGAGCGTCGTTATTCATTAGGGTACAACAGAAACAGGCGTGACTTTGTTTCTTGCTCTTTTCAACAAAAAATAAAGAACATGTCCATAGTCACAGAGATCACGCGGATCTAAGACAAGTATGGCCTTAGACCACGTCTGTGGCCAAGGGTTCGAATGTCTCTTGAAGCATTGATAATGTCCACGTGATGCGCTGTTGTGTACTGTTTCTACGTGAATAGAGGCCTCGAGATGGGACATCGTCCATGCAAATATAAGGATTTATATTTTTCAGAATTCTGAATCCGAACAGAACAAAAAGGCGAGTCCATGGAAGCTGAATAAGAACTTATGAATCAACTGACTGATATCCATGTAACTTGGTGCGGACATCCAATTTTCCTTTCTTCCTTTCCTTGATTTAAGGTTCTGTTCTAACATTTTCCAGGAGGAACTAAGGAGAAATTTCAAAACCTCGGTTAATATAGTCGACCTCCGAGCCTAGAATCTAACCTAGGACTTCCCCAAATACAAGGATCTTACGTTACGGTGTTACAGACTTTGGGACAGCATGATCTGGGTAGTGCGGTCGTATTTCAAAGAGAGACAAAAAGCTCAGGACACATTTCGTAAAGCCTGCTTTCCTGTTGCACAGGATTCCATTCTGTATTGTTATATTCAGGTAATATACGGTTGTAATCAGAAAATGCAGTTTAGCCCAGGTGTTAACATTTTGGGCCCACGCAAAGGTAATTACAGAATCGAATTATATTCTAGCAGGAATTTATTACTTAACCTATAAATGCGCTACAGTTAATTGTTGGTAGTATTAAAATTCCTTTTTGGATGAACTCACTGCCCAAGCACAGATTCAGTATTTGTTAAATTTTATTAATATAATTTTAAATTTTCGCATTGTCGGCATGTTTATGGCTGTTGACATTTAAACAATTGTCCTTTCATATTTTTAAAGAATATTTGTTAATATGTGCCCATATAGTTTCACATTCGTAACTCTAACGTTAATTATCGATGTCAAAATTTAAGCCCAATGAAAATTTTCGTACAGTTTCCATGTCATTGTTCTGCATTCAACAGAAACATACATTACCTTTCTTAAATTTGAGCATTTTCCTAATTTTTCTCAACACGTGACTTCAGGTCTCTGTTGTTTAAATGAAACGGGGGTTGTTCTGAGCTGAAGAGTTAAGGCCGTTAAAAAGTAACGCCGTGGGCGTTGAGACAGGTTCCCATTCGCACACGAGCTAAGAACCCGTTGGGATGTTCTAGGAACCACTGCGGCTTGACTTAGTCAGACCCAAATCTGTGGCTCTTTAGCGCGGCGTTCAACAACTCTTCGACATCAACGCACGCCGCTATTGTGGAACGCTAGGAGACCTTCGTACCGCCATCAGGAAAAAGCGTCCCGGCATGCTGACAAGGGGTATCATCGTACTGCACGACAGCGCCCGTCCCCAATGCAACCCTCACTTTCCAGGACATCTGCACCGGAAGGTGATGGACCACTCCTCACGCATTCCGGTCCTGTCGCCTTGTGATTCCATGTGTTTGGCCGCCGTAAGAAAGCGCCATCGGACCACAGATTTGGTTTGGACGAAGTAGTGGTGCAGGCAAAGGTTTCAGTGGTAGCCGAGGGAGTTGTCTGTTGAGGGAATCAGTCAACTGGAGCGTGAAAGGGATTCCTGCCTCAACACCCATGGGGACTATTTTCAACGCTCTCTACTCCTTCGCCCAGAATAATCACCGAACTTTGTTTATTTAAACAAGCGTCCTATATTAAGTTACGATCATTTCACAAGCTGTGGTGGCCCGATGTTATTACTGACTAAAATAACTTAAAA